AGCTCAACCACGTGTGCTGAAGGTTCAAAAGGCAAAGATTCAAACCTGACCCGAGCCTGCTCTGTTCACAAAAGGTTTGCAGGTAACCTCTGCCTTCACTGCTGCAGGGCTGCACAAATCCTTGTGCAAACACAAGGTCTTTCCTCCCGGGCTGTCGGAGCCACTCTGCCCCAGCGTGCTCCTGCTGTGGCTGGGGCTCCAGGAACACTCACTGCTTCCTCTGCCAGGGAAGTGCACAGGCTTCTACACAAGGAAAAGCTTGCAAAGTAAGAGTTTTGACAAGATTCAGGTGGTGTGTAGAATATTCTTTTCCCATTCTCTTTTTGGAAGCCCTTCCCAGATGCAGGGATAATGCCAAGTTCCCAGACACTTTCAGTGAGTATCGAAGAATGAACCACTGAATAAAAACCAGACATTTCTTTAAATGCATCTCAAGCTTTCCATCCTTCCCAAGTGACCTCCAGCTTCTCACACCTTCAGTGACTGAAGGGGGGATAATACTGAATAGACAAGATGGACAGGGGGGAAACAAAACCAAACATAAAAATATTGCAAGATAAAGTTTTTGTATGATCTATTTTCATGTCATGAAAACGCCCAGAAGAGCCTGTGGTCACTGCTCACAGTGGGTTGGTACATTTGCTTTCAAGGTATTTACTAACAAATTCAGGATATGTGATTTAGCTTCAGCTCCATTTTCAAAACCACAGATCATAATTTGAGACCTTGTATCAGTGTCCAGTTTAACTCCCAAGCTATTCCTTCAGAGTACACTGAGGCACTAATTAATGCAGCCTTGGGAACAGCCTGTACCTGCACACAAAACTACTTCTGTAGGCTACAGACTTTTGATCTGAGGCCCAAACTTAATGTAAGATAAACCAGACATTCTGCTACTGCATGAGAAACCAAAACATCCCTGAGAAGGAAAGACCAAGATGAAAAATTAGCAAAGCAATTATCATTACTGAAAGTAAGAAACTAATTTAAGTTTTTAATTCCAATCCTGTAAAGGTTGATTTCTAACTTGCAAGTAAGAAGACAAATCCTACCCTGGAGGCCAACTTACTGCATGTTCTTTTTTTAAATTCTTCTTTAGAAAATACTTGCCTTGCAATAAGTAGAGAGACATGGAGTTGTTGTTAAGCTGAATTGCTCTGAATATTGTCTCACAAGTATTTAAAGAGATTTGTGATAATGAGCTCCTCTAAGAAAGGCAGGCAAGATCCTACTGATTAAAATTAAAGTTGGAAAAAAAATTGGTAGGAATTAAGGATTAGACTATTGGAACAAATAATGTTAAAAACCTGGTATTTAAAAATCAGATGTTTAATAAATATTTTCTCATTTTATTGAAGCAACCAGCTCTCCCACACTGCTGCTAAAGCCATTTACCTGCAGTGCCCCTTTCCAGGCTCTGTGCGTGGCTCTCTCCAGAGGGTTTCCCCTGATGACCTCCAGCCTTTCCCTTCACCTCCAAACTGCAAGGCAGAGCAGCACGAGCACTCAAACACTAGAATGCTGCCACAAAGGAACAAATTCCTTCACCAGCTGCACAGTGGAAGGCTCAGAGGGTTCCCAAAGAACTCTGTGTGGCTTTAATGCCGCTTCCCTGCATCCACTGCTCCTGACCTCCCTCACAGGGGGGTTGTGTGAGGGACAAGGATACTCACCATCATCACAGGACCTCTGAAAAAAATTAACTTAATGAAAGCTTAGTATTTACTACGGTAATTCTGGCTGAAATTTTAAATTACCACCTCACTGCTTCTTTTTTTTTTTTCCTCCAGATAAGATTCCTTACATTTGATACCTGCAGATGGGCACCTGATTGCTCTAAGTTCACTGCTGAAAAGGCTCGTGAAGTTTAGATGGGAGGAGGTGGAAAAAAAAGCCAAGCACCTGGAAAACACTTCATTGCTTCTTTATTTAGATGCACCCACAGTACAGAGCCTCTTGAGCATGTGCAAAAGAGGAAGATAACACATTTCTAGCTGGGAGCACCATTGAGTTTGAGTTTCTTTGATACCACTTTTAAGAAAGTAAACTGTTTCTAAAGAATGACATTTGAATCCAAGAGTTTAAGACCTGCTTGTACTTTATCCAGAGGTGGAAGATATTTTTATTATTACTTGGATGTAGAGTAGAAGACATTTTCACAGTCTGGTTGGACCAGTATTTTCATATGCACCTTTTAATATATATATAAAAAAGTTTCATTTTTTCCCCCCTACCCACAGATAGTTAGATGCACCTAAGTTTAAAAACAGTAATGGGACCAGAGCATTCCTATGGGGAAAAGTGAACTTTTGCTGCCCTCTCCTGCTTAAACAATGAAATGCTAAAATATTAAGATCTATGAATCTAATGCTAACCTTGAAACAAAAAAGCATGACAGGTCATTCGCTATACTACAATCAAAAACAGGGCAACAACAAGAAATGCATTGGTACTATTTATATTCGAAAACTCCTCATGGCTCCATGAGGTTATGAATACAACATATTTACAGCAGGTGATCCAAGTAACAAAAACTCTTACTCAGAGAGGTCGTGATAAAAAGCACACGCTTCTGTGGATGGGAAGCAACACTTGGATAAAAGTTTTCATCCGAAAGTAGCTCCATTCTCTTTCAAGATGCTGTTTCATAGAGTTCAAAATGGAAAACTGGGCTACATAAAATCTGCTGCACATACCAACTGGGAAGAACTAATTCATGGCTCACTCCAGAGCTGCTAAGGGAAGCACAGGAGCCAAATTAAAAAAGCTATAATAAAAACATTCTTCAACCTTGAGCATCATCACCTTTGTCTTCTTTAAGGGCAATTGCTTTGGGATAGCGGTGTCACACAACTAAGAGAAAAGGGCATCTTTGTTTTCAAAGACAGAACTAAAAGGAAATTATGTCAGTTTTACTTGGAGGGAGAATCTCATCTTTCCCACTCCTCAGAAAACAATAAAGAGCTTTTTAGAGCTCCTAATATATTTTCTTTTCCATCGAGTGAGAGAGCCTGAGGCTGTAGTTAAGCACATATAATGCAAGTACAGCTGCTGCATTTCTTACTCAAGCAATTTTTGGCTCCAACACCCTTGATTTTTTCATATATGAGAACAGATAAAAAAATAAATTAAACCCTTTTACTTATGCTAACAAAACCAAGATTAAACTTACTGTAACCCTGCTAGCGAACGCTCCAATGGCATTAGAATACCTTTATTTAAAGCATTCCAACCTCTGGAAAAGAGACAAAAACACTTGAAAGCAACGTAAAGGAAAACATTAATGGAGACGTGCAAGATGGAGAAAGCAACATGTGGTCAATTCAGAGTGCATGAGAGGAACTTTACTTGTACAGTTGTTACATCCCCATGGCCCACTGCCCTCGCAGCTCCCTCCTGTGAGCAGACAGCGCTCAACCCTTCCCCCTGAGACCAGTGTGGCCCAGGACACGCAGATCACCCAACGCCCGCCGGACAAGCAGTCAAGAACAACACTGACACCAGCAGAGGTGGTTTGTGGAACTCAAGAAGCAAACAAAAGTGTAATTTATGATGCACTGATCACACTTGGGCCCACGGGCTGCCTTCCTCTTCCTCCTGCTGCAGCTCCAGCGGGAGCAGCGGGAGCCCTGCGGGGCCGGACGCGGCGCTGGGGCAGCGGCACACGCGGGGTCCTGGCAGCAGCTGCTTCTTCAGGTGCATCACCCAGCCTTTAGAGTCAAGTGACTTCATAACAACAGCACGTCATCTCCTTCTCCTCGAAGGAACATTCCTTCCCAGAAGTGATAAATCATTTATAAACGTCAGACACTGCCCGCTGTCCCCGTGGCAGAGGCCAGGGAATATTGCAACCCACCAGGTTCTGGTCAGTTTTGTATGATCAATAGTAGAATGACATGGCAAAACCAAAAATAGTTATGAACAAACAACACTCACCTAAACTCTAAGTACAGGACAAGGTGCTTTTTCTAATTTCACATTGTTGTGTTTTACTCCACCACGTGAAGAACATCAAGTTTTATTCCTCCATTCTTTCTCACTTTTTCACAATGGAACATAGTCTTTGAGCATGAGTTGGAGTCCACCCTCTTGTACTGTGAAACGATCATTTCACACAGAAATCACACTAGCAAGTTCGGTTTTTTGGTAACAGAAATAAAAGACTGTCAAAATCAATGGGCTAAGGGACATGATTTGTTATAAATTTATTTAATCTTCAGTATTTCAGCTTGCACCTTTGCTTCAGCACTTTAAAATAAAATGTTTCAACTATGACAGAAACTGCCTAATTTACATTGAGTCCCAGTCAATGTTCTTAAAAGAAGCTCATAATTCCATTAAATCATGTCGTGTTTGGTGTTGCATATGACTAGTTCCACTTTTTTTTTTTTTTTCCAGAATTAACAATGTCAAGTTCTTACAAAGCCTTGAGTTTACAACATTTGTGTGTGCAGACCCAGGAGTACAAACTGTGACCTGATAATCCTGAAACAGTCAGTAGTCTAGGAGGGAATTCTTTTTTACTTTTTTTCCGTGCCTGAAAACAAGAAGACTTCAAATTCTACTGTATATTTAAATGGTAGGAAGAAAAATATACAAGCTTGTATTTATACTGTATTTCTATCAATGGCAACAGGTCATAAATTCATGTTTGCAACTATCACAAAGACTCATGAACACCAATTCATTTTTATACTGTAAATACTGCTGGATTGATGGTTTAGGATTATCAATTCACTGTTGTCATATGTCTATAACAGTTCAAAAGCATCCTGGAGAAAAATCCTGAAACACATACCTTCCGGTATAGAATAATGCAACTGCATTAGCTAAATATATACTGTACAGAAGTCTTATCAGCATTTTACCTACCAAAGATGTAAGATTCCACTTTCAAATACAAAGCAGATAGCCAATATTGTATACTTATAATACAGCCCTCTTCTTTGTTTTTGTATTTTTTTCCTCTTTTGTTTTAAACAATTTGGTCACAATGCACCTTTGATATAAAAGCATTTTAAACTTTATTATTAATACTCAGAACATTAGGATTTCCAGAATTTTTTTTTTCAGTAGCATTTGTAGAACCACTTTTGGTAACAAATACAGTAGTTAGGAATGAGCATCCAGATGAGAATGCAGAAGTGTATTATCCAGAATCCTTTCCAGCTAAGACCATAGGGCTGGTACTGTGATGAGTAATAGTACTAGAACCACAAAAACACTAGAGTATGTTTCTTAGAGGCTACATCCTCTTTTGCTGGAACACTTTATAAATACATATTAAAAAGTAAGGCAACAACTCCAAACTGTCCAAACTGCCATCTCAACTCAATTTCCAATTAGATCCATGACCACTGGAGATCAATTTCATGTTTGTGTTGTTTAGCATGTGTCTTTATTCTTTCAGAATGGTCCAATAAGAACATACTGTAATAATTTAGCAATTGGTGTTTCTAAACCAACTCTGGTACATGTGTCTAATGCTGCATCACTAATACTGGTTAGGTATTGAAGTCCAGGGTGTTACCACTGCCCCTTTTTTTCCTTTTTTTCCATGGATTGTGGACACTGATTTGGATTTGCAATAAATAGGTGCATGAATCCAAAGCTCCCTTTCCTACTATGTTTATCACCTACTTGTTTTTTAATTCCTAATGTTCAAATTAAAGAAGCACCAGAGACAGCCTGGTACTAAAAAATGCTCACACCAGTAAACAAAACTTTTATTCAGGACCAATGTTTTTCACGGCCCTGATCTGAATGGACATTCAACTTATGAAGATATGCAAAAGAAAAAGAAAGTCAAATTACAGTAAAGTTATCCAGAGAAGGAGGATGTTACACAAACTCATAAGGAAATGACAGTCTTTTTTCTCTTTTACTATAAATACACGTAACAGTTTAGCAGAAAGACAAGCTAAATTTTAAGATTGTTCACATTTGAAAGTTGTATTATACTCTCTGCTAACGATAAATAAGGAACAGGTCCTGACAATGGAATCTGACATTGCAATTTTCATCAACAGATCTTTGAAGACTGGTTTTAAAGAAGGGTTAAAACAATGATTATGTTTGCAAAGTTCTGAGAAGTCCATCTGTTGTCCAAACTTTGGATTAAAGTCCTTATTTTTTTCCTTTACTTAGAGACAGGTATATACAGTGCTGTTGTAATAATGAAACAAATGTGAAATCTACTGTAAAGTTGCACAATACAGAAAACTGTTGCTCCATCTTCTACTACATAAATGTGTGACTCCACAGGTTAATAATGCTGTTTTGTATTTTTGTTAAGTTGGAATTATTCCATCACGTCTAAGACCTCTCTTTAATTCCAAATCCTCCAGTTTTTTCCACAGTTCTTCACGCTCTTTCTCTTTCTTCTTCTCACTGACAGATGAAATAAAACAAAGAGTTAGCAGGAGAGAAGACTAGAGATAAATAATAGTTATGTTAAAAATATATATAGTTGACATTAAATAGATGCACTAATTTTCTTGAACACAACTGCAATTTTCCTGACATAAATTTAACATTTTTTAAATATTTTCTTTTTTTTTTTTTGTTACCTACATAAATTTAACTAAACAAAGCAGTATGAGAAGAGCATAAAATGTAAGCTGAGCAAAGTGACAGTGCTCATAGACACTAATTTGCACTGAGGAATTTAAAAATGCAGGGGACTTTTACTACAGAACTGATCTGTCAAAATTATAAAAATTAACATTTTGGACTAAGTTATGTAATTATTTTTATGTTTATTTATTTAAGACATAAATAATCTTTTAAAAGACAGCAACTTTCTAGAAAGCATTCCCTGATCCTTTTATAATCACTCTTTTTACTTACACTGACTGCTGGCTTCCCTATAGCTTAGACACCAACCAAGGCCAAGTTCAACCTACAAGATGTGCCTTTTGCTCAGTGAGTTACTCTTTTTCCACACCAAATTCCTGCAAGATCTGTGTAGCATTTGCTTTAAAAACAGACTTTAGTGGCTGATTTGAGAAAATTAAACAGCAAACCTAACATTTACTTTAACCTGCATTGTTTGCTTTCTAAATTTCCTGTCTCTGCCACAGCTTACTGTGAATAAATCTCCTTGAGACTGCAAGGCACAAAATGCTTTCAAGTTCTATGACATCACCTTGTAGGTTTAGATGAAATGGAAATCTAACAATGACAGATACACAGATTCTGTGCCAGTCACATTACAGAAGTCTTGAGAAGTATTTCAAGGGATTAGAAACATTCCTGCACACTTTGATTCACTCAACATACCAACATCTGGCTCATTTGTTTGGAATTTTGATTTCCCAAGAGGATTTTAAATATTTTAAAAAATACAAACAACTTTTGGATAAATCCCTGAAGAACAGTAAAGGAAAAAAAAAGAGCTTATTATTACTGGAGAGTATTTAAAATTAAATATAAGAGTAAGTGAAATAGCCTTACATTTTCAGGCTACTTACCAATATTTATCTTCTAACCATTAGGAAATACATGTCTGCTTACCTAAAGGTCTGTTAGAGGATGATCACCTCATCCAACCTACCTATTTGACCTATCCTAGTGATTAATATTGAATGTATTTCTCCTCAAGCTTTAAGTGATATCAAAGCTACCCTTCAAAAATTTCATTAAGATGCTAAAGATTTTCTGAAAACCTTAAGGTAAATATCCCGGTTTATACATTCAGATTTTAAATTTATAAGACGTAAATAAAAATGGTGAAATGCTTAGCACCAGCCTTGGTAAGAAGTACAATGTCAGCAGGCACAAAAGAAATTCTTTGTGCAGTTCAGCCACTAAACCTCCCCCACTATCAAGACATGGGACACACCACTGCAGTGTCTGGTCCTGTTCAGAGCAGAATTTCTCATCTCAAGGGACAAAGTGCAACCACAAATTTATTCAGGTCACCAAGCTGCCTCAGTGAGTATCTGGACTAGATGATCAGTCCTAAAACTCTCTGCCTTCTTGCTAGGAAACCACAGAGTTTGTCTCAACTGCTCGATGTGATTGGCACTTATTTATCAATACATATCAAGAATATCTGGCTTCTTGGTTCAAATAGATCTCTAAACGAGTCTCTACAAGTAAAATACCATATTAATGAAGTAGCCTGTTATGTGCAGATTTTTTTGGGCTATAAAACAAAGAGGAATGAAAGGCCAGTGACTCCAGTCACACAAGCCAAAAAACTACAACAGCCAAGAGACTTTCAAGGTTGGACTACCCTAAAAACCTCTGCTGACATGCAGTGCCCTTTGCATTGCTTGGGGGAACCCTGAGTCACAGCCAAGGTATGGCATAAATGAAGTTGCAACGTGTTCAAAGTTCCTGAAATTTGCTCCTTTTTTTCACCTAATCTTTGCATAAGGGGAAACTTTTGAGAACAGATGCTGTACTGTAATGGAGAAATAAAGATTAGGGAAAATGGGAGAAAAGACAAGAAGCCACCGGAGTTGAACTAATGCCTCTATAAGTGGTGTATTTAATGGATCCTGCATGCTGAAAGACTCAGATACAGGAGGACCCTCTGAATAAGAAATGAAAAGGCTGAGAGATATCCCTTTACTCCACAGAGGAGCACATCCAGCCAACAAACAGAAGCTTGGAAAATCAAATCTTAGGGGTTTCCCTCATGTCTCTTTCCAAATCTCAGTGTAACTTTTTTTTTTTTTAAAGTCTTTAATCAAAGTGTTACCTTTAAACCCATGTTTTCCTTTTATCATTGAAGATCTTGATACACTTCAGTGTTTTGGAATGTGGAGTCAAAAAGGAATTGCACCAGGAATGTGGATTCCCAAACCATGCAATGGATACTGTATTTAATAAAGGCTAAAGAACAACCTGCACACAATGTCACATCCTGCAATGAGAAGCCTAACCAGCAGGCAAGGGCAAAAATGGGGCAGTGTCTACAATGCCTGAGATTCTGCAACTGCACCTGAGTGTAAGGGGAGAACTAAACTGCAGGCCATGTGCACAGCTGACAAAAAAAAAGCTTTAAAAAGTTACCGCTGACGATCTGACTTGTAAGTGGCTGTCAGCTCGTCAAACATGGTGCTGTTCATTTCCATGAATGCCTTCAACACATTGTAGACTAAAGCCACAATAGCCCTGTGGAACATGGAGAAAGAAGAAAGAAAGGAATCCATTAGTTTCAGGTGAAATCAAACGTGAAATAAAAAGTGTCTTCTCTTCCCAGCCTTTCTGTGACCAATTCTGTTCCTGCAAGTATGGTTATGTAAATTCTTCGATTTCACTGAAACTACTTTTGATTAACATTCTTAAAGGTGAGAATCAGCTTTCATGTCCCTACTGACTACTGAAATGGAGCAGGCCAAAACTCCAGGGCAAAAGGCAACAACAGAAAGCTATTACATATAACTACAGTCTCTTCCCTCATGCTGTGGAGCAATTCTGAATGCAGCTTCAGAGATTCAAATCATCAATGCTGGCAGAAGGAATAGAATTCAAACACAAAATGAAAGTGATTCATATTTCCTTATGACTCTTCTATGAGGCTGAATATTCAGTGCATCTATGCAAAATACAAAGCTGTATTTCAAGAGTGATTTCCTTGTGCTCATGCAGTTCGTATTCATTTTCCCTTTCACAGTTCCTGATCCACTACTCTGGCTGTCATATTCAGACCCAGGGCTGCTTAAGAAGCAGCTCTTCAGCCAGGAGGCAGTGAATCAACAGCACAAGTGCCAGGAACCTTTGGAGCTAATCCTTACAGGACACACAAACTATGTGCCATTTCCCAAGCACCCCTGTCTCTCATCTCTTTAAATAAACTTTCACTTTTGTTGCCTACATGAACAATTTTCTTATAAATATAAAAATTCTTTAAATAGCTCCTTTATTTTAGATGTGTCCGCACCTGGCTCATGTAACAAAATTACTATGGGTATAAAAACTCTGAATTGGAATACTGGAATATTCTCATTACCATAAGCATCCCAGTGCATACTATTAAAAGGTTGGAGACTGGTACTGGAGTACTATGCCATGGAAAGTGTGTTTTTGTGACCAGTGTTAAATTACAGAGGCTTTCCAGCAGGATTAGATTTGTCATGTAAAACCACAAACTTCAGAATTTGACTAGGTTCAGAACAGGAAAAATGTTTGAAAAGATAAAACATTTTACAGTAAGGTATCAAAGCAACTGGGGCCTGCACATATAGCACAGCTCATTAAAAATACTGAGTTTACTAAATGCAAATCATCTTGACTTAGAAAAACTTTCCAACTAAAATAAAGGATATATATCATCTCACTGTAATAGAATTTTTCGTAAAAACACTTTTTACTAGGGCATGCAGTTTGGAATAAAATTGCCTAATTATCACAATATCAATATTAAGTAACTGCTCAATTATTGCCACAGAGAACAGCTGTATTTAAATAAGTTTAGAAAAAACAATCCAACCTAAGAATGTACTGCCTACAGGTTTCATGGATGTTTAAAAAAATGCCAACACCAAAAGCCACCCAGAGGTATCGTTGATGATACAGCCACAAAGCTTTATTAATGCCAAGTGATATTCTTCTAGACAATTTAGAATCAGGCTTAAGAGCCAACCCGTTTATAAAAAAACTGCGTAGGAGAAACACTTGATGAGCAACATTTTTCCTTCAATAACAATGTAACATTTAATTTCTTCTTTTTTCCAGCTTGTGAGAAGGCCTATTTTTATCCTACAAAGTAGTGATTTTTGTACACACACCAGTTAATTAAAAACACTGAGACAAGCTCATGTGCAGACTAATATATATTGTCATTAACAGAGTTGCACTTGCTCAGAGCAGCTCTGAGTCTGCATCTCTCCCATTCAGATGTTCTTCAGCAGACATTCCCTGAGTTTATCAGTGGGATGTCAAATGGTAAGAGATAAAGTGTAAATGCACAAACTTACGGATTCCAGTGCTCTTTAGAAATCCTGTAAAGGCTGGAAAACATGATGGGAAGTATAACGTTTGAGTTCTCCTCTATCAAACTCATGATGTATTCATTATTCCAATAATACAGCGCTCTTTCAGCCACCTTTGAGTCAAAGAAACAAAGTAAGAACAGGAATTCAGATACCTGTAATGTTGTGGTTTTCTGATAGAAAAACAAATCACAAAGAAACTCCATAAAGATGAGCTAACAGAAGTCATTAGTTTTGAATTAAACTACTCTAATCAGTAGCATAACACGCATTAATGGAATTAATTTCTTTCCTGTAGTTCTGATCCCACAGCACCCACTCTCTATTTCCTGAGCAATGTGTTCTTGCTCACTGAAGACTGGGTGCAGACACAGCATCAGTGCTGCAGTTGAGGAGGGGAAGAAGAGCAGACAGACTTCCCATCACCCTTTCCCTCAAAATCAGGAAGGATGCAGCTGGAAAAAAATCCAGCAGTGCTGCGATACCAGAGGAAGGAGACAAGGAAAGACCCCGTAGCTGGGCTGGATAAGGGAGGAGAAATCTTAAGTGTGGGGAAGGTAGCAAGGACAGGAATTACCCTGGAGAGAAGCTGGGGGTTAGGAAGGAGGATGCGGATCTGAATTATGATTTAAAAAAAAGATGTAGTCCAAGGAAGAGTTGAAAAGTCCCATCTGTCTTTGTGCCAGGACAGATCACCAGGTTTAATATGGAGACACTACAGGCCATGAACTCGCTATCCTCTTCACATATCCATTTACATCCCATTCATTGCCCTCCCTCCCATTATACAATGAGATTAAAACAGGCTACAGTTTGTGTCACCTCTAACCAGACTCGTGGTCACTTGGTTAGAAGGAATCGAGTCAGAAAAGAGGAACTGCACAAGACTGCACCAAAACCAGGGAGCAAACCCATCCTCCAGGGTCTACAGGGCCAGCACCTGGCACCCACAGTGGGAAGGGCTCAAAGCCTGCTTGGACACACGTTAAGGATTTGTGAGGGGCTCAGAAGGACAAGCTCTGTGCTGTAACCCCAACACCTCTAACAAGTTATTCACAGAGCTCAGACCTAACCTTCCACCCCAACATATCCTCTTCCACAGAAGACAAGTACTTAAAAAATAACATAGAATAATATTTACATTTGGGGGCAGTTACGTTTGAAACTGAGACTATACATTCCTATATAAACAATAACCTTTACCACTGACCTGAAAATGAGGGCTAGAGACACACTTGGCAATTTGTTTAAACAAGGGTTCCTGGATTTTGACAAATTGTGATGGTTCAATTACATCCAAGATTTCCTCCAGCTCTCCTAGGAACATGACCTAAAGACAAAAAAGAAAGCATTGAATATAAAACCTCCAAATCATCTTGTTCTGCAGAATGCTGGTAACCTCCAAATTCTACTGCTTCAGGAAGAAATGGAAACCTCAGTAGCTCAGTGAACAATTCCAAATCTAACAGAGTTTTCAAAACCAGCCTCAACTACGTTTATTTTCACCTTCTAAAAAATCCTCTGCAGCAGTACCAGGAATTATTTTGTGAATGAAAACCAGACTTAGCAAAATTTTCACAGTCAAAACTGTTCAAAAAACTACAAATAAAGTATTGAAAAATCATCTGCAAGAAATAATACCAAGATTCACCACAGCATGTGCTATCAACCACGAATTATTTAAAGATTCCCTGCTTATTATGTTTTAGAGCAAAATGATTCTTTTTTTTTTCCTTTGTAATACTAGCATATCACTTACCTCTTTCTGACTGCAGGTTTTTGGCCAGAATTTCATTAAACCTCTAATGACCTAAATTAGAAGGAAAAAGAAGTTAGATTTTTCACTCTTCTCTCTACAGGGTAAATAATTCATAGTGAATAAAAAGTATGAAAGAAATATTTACTGGTTCTGTGAGTGAAGGGTCTTTCTCCAGAAACTGTACTATGCAATACGCCAGCTGTGAAGAGGTAAGAATTTACAAAAACAAAATTAGAACATGTCTATAAAGAAACCACAAAACCCCAAGTTTTTTATAAAGAAAAACTTAAGGCAAGATGCGATTCAGCTCTCTCAAACTATAGCCAATTTTAGACTGAGATGCACAGTTGGCACTGTGCAAATCCATTCAAAGTTCAATAAGGCAAGATGCGATTCAGCTCTCTCAAACTATAGCCAATTTTAGACTGAGATGCACAGTGCCAACAAATCCATTCAAAGTTCAGTTTATGAGAAACAAGAGGACACTACACAAGAACAATTAGAGTGATAAAGTAGCAAATAAAATAAAAATCAGAACAACTTGGAATTCTAAATACAGTCATACAAGCAATGTTTTGAATCTTCTGCTACTCTCTTAAAGTGCAACTTTTTACTAATTTTATACAGCAAAGTCATGAGTATTCTTGCAAGATGAGTCGATACAGTTAAAACCTGGAATAACATACTTAAAAAGCAGAGCTTTATCACCATAAGAAATACTGAAAATTTTCACTATCTGCAAGTCAGAGAGAAAGGCAAGAGGTAGCAGTTATACAGGAAAAATTATATCATGAAAGCTGAAGATGCAGAAAGATGTATGAGAGCATAAATGCAGTATTAAGGAATCTGTGAGGGAGAATATTAAATGAAAAAATGTGGTATCAGTATTCAGAAGGTTGCCAGGGTGTAGACGAGCCTTGACAGGACAAGACTAAGAAAACCCAAACATCCTCTTAGGAGAGAGAATGGGAAGGGCAAACTTGTGAGAATGAAAAAAGAGCAGAGAGGAAAACCTAGAGAGCGAGCTTAACTACTAAATAAATTTTTCAAACTATTACAGATGTGTATTATGCTTTTAATTGCCTAATCAGAACAGAAGCTAGATATTTGTCATACAAAGGATATTGAAATAATTTTGGAAAAAATTGATTGTATTTTTTTCCACATTTAGAATTTCCCCCTCCCACCCTTTTTATGTGCATGTAATTAAATTTACATAGCAACCTTAAAATATATACATATAATTCTTACTGAACAGAAAGCATTTTGGTAATTTTTACCTGTGCATGGAAGAGTGATAAACTCCTGACTGTGTGTAAAGGGATCAGCACCTTCACCAGAAACTGTTTATGCTCTGCCTTGAGAGGTAAAGCAAAACCATTGATAATACTGGAAATGAGAAAAGAAATATTTGTTAGTGTCATCATCACAGAGAGCAATACTGAGGTGTGAGCAAGCACTTTCTAGATTAAAATATATTTAGCAGTCAGCAGCTGTTTACAAACAGCACTTGTAAGCAGCTGCTGACTTTGGTCCTGCTTTTACATTAGCAGGGCACTACATATCTAGGTAGCAGCCCAGCTCCCATTAGGAATAATAACATAAACAGCTGCACAAACCCTTTGCCAAACAGAGAAGGCCTTGTCTATGTGGTCTGTAAGTTCATGTGAGCAAGGTGGTCTTGAGTAATTAACCTACCAAAATTAGATTATTCACTCAAAACATTCACTCTGCTAAGTGTGCTCAGAAGAAAATAATCCTGCAGCATGTGAGGATGAAGTGTGCAGTATTTAATGGACTCACACACATAAAATCAATCCAACACTTTGGCTGTAACTTGCATGCAGTTATATATTCTTGGCAAAGATGTGACAGAGATTTGCACATGAGCTTAAAGATGAGCATGTGCACACATCTGTTTTCAGAATCAGGGATTATCATAATACTTTTTCCGAATCTGACGCTATCCTGATGTGTCCACAAGGGAAGTCTGAGTTAGATAATAAATAAAGACTCCTTTACCTTCCTAAAATTTCCAACAGTTCAGCTACGCCATTGAAGTGTTCAGTTTCATAAACAAATCTAAAAAAAGAAAGTTAAATATAAGCAATATATCAGTTTCCTAAAGGGTTCATAAGTGAAAAGCCCCTTCTTCCACAACTTACCGTAGAAAAATATTATTAATCTGTTTTCGGATAAATGCTCTAAGCCCCAGGAACTTGCCATAAATTCTGTGCAAGACTGTTTTTAGGTAGTCTCGTTCCCGAGGGTCTTCGCTGTCAAACAGCTCCAACAGCTGTGTTTAAAGGAAAAAGAGAACTGAAACAGGAGACATTTGACAAGTTGGATGTGCAGACTTCTGTATGAAACTGAATTCATGAAAACACATGAATGAAAGAATGGCACCCCAGGAGTAGATAATCAGCATTAAAAATATCTGCTGGAACCTCAGTACAACATCATAAACCTCAGAATAATAAATTTGTGATTAACTAGCTCCAAAATGCTGCTCTTCTTCTCCCCAAAAATAAATATAAGACAGTTTGCCTTTTACCATTCACCATTCCCTGACTCTGCAGAACCAGAAGATCCTCCTTTGCTCTAATACTTTGCTCTCACAAGGCTGTGTCAAGGTCACATTTTTCTAATTGCTTGTAATTCATATGATGAGCTCTTAAGCCTTCCTAGTGATTGCATGGCCCTCATGCTGTGGAAAGACTCAACAGGGAAGTCCATGCCAGCACTGGATCTGCTGCTACAGGATCTCCACCAATTGCCACAAATCAAAAGCATCAGAGGGAATTAATCCTTCACTTTGAACAAAATGGTGATTTCGTTATCAATGCCAATTAAAAAACCAAAACAAAACAATGAATAATAAAAAACAACAATAACAAAAAACCCACATTTACTAAGTAGCTCTTAAATATACAGCAAAATGGTTATGTGAGACTCAGTCAAGAGAGAAGGTGCTGTAGTGTCTGGTATTGTACAGAACATATCCCAGACACTGACACATGAAGCTGCACGAATTGAGTAGCAGGAATATCACCTGCAGATCTTTGTTTTATTCCCCTTCAGTCCTCTGCCACAACAGTATGAGCTTTCCCTGAGCCACCTTCTTCATTTTTTTTTATGACACCACGACATTGAGTATTCTGGTGGATGTTTGGAATAAATTCAGAGGTAAACTTTAAAGCAAAAAGCACAACCAACGGGCACAACCGTACAGAATCCAGGGAATTCTAGGTAATTTTTAGTAATCATAGGCAACCAGTATCTGTCTTGTATGAAAAAAGTGACTGTGAACCAGTACCTGTCTTGCAAAAGAAATAAAGACAGTTTGTCAAACAGGTCTTACAAATGGGCAAGATGCTGTCAGAAAATCACTACAGGAGTAGCAGAAAACAAAATTATCTTAGACTCACAAACAGATAAAATTATAAATACCTATTACAAGTAGATATGTCAGTGTATGCTATACATGATCTCTGTGAAACTGCTACACAACTTTGAGGAGGTGAAAAAAGACAGGAAAAAATGATTAAACATTGTTAGGCTGTCTGGGATTTTGCTTTCTAACATGCAGGTCTAGGACTGATGCACACATTCTTCCTCATTGTTTGGAACACTTCTGCATCTTGCAATGAGACCTCACTGTATTTTCCTTGCAGTATGAATCTGTGGTGGGGATTTCATGAGGGAAGTATGAGGTTTGTCAGTTGCCCTCGAGAGGTTATCAACACATTGCTCTGCTCAATTAGTTCTAGATTTCAATAAATAAATAGTCACCTCATCCTTCCCCAAATAGCACATTTCAGCCTAAGACAGCAAACAGCTGGAAGCACTTATGTTTTTTGTTTTCTTACTGGATTGAAAAGTATTTATATTTCCAGTTCTCTTATGCAGATCCTCTCTGGAAATACTGCTAAACTAAGGCTAAGTCTCTCATTAAAAAAAAAAAAAAAAACCAAAAAAAACCACCAAACAAAAACCTAATAATAAGACTATTATTTTGCTATGTCCAATTTGCTTTCAGGTTTCAGCAATAAAGTCTTATTTTTATGAATAAGCTACAAGACTTCCATAATTTATTTTGACTATTCTAAACACACATAGAAAAGGGAAATTAATTTTCCAAAATAGCAACCTACATAACACAGAGACTTGTGGATATATTTGAATAGTATGTCTCTTAGCAACCACTGCCAACCATTTCAAACTGTACATAAGCAGGCTTTAGAAATGAACAGCTACACTGGTAAATACAGTATTTTTAAAAACATACAGCTGAAAGCCAGAAACACAGCTATACTTAAAAAAAAAAAAAAAAGAAAAAAAAAAGGAAGAAAAACCACCAAACAAAAACTTAATAATAAGACTATTATTTTGCTATGTCCAATTTGCTTTCAGGTTTCAGCAATAAAGTCTTATTTTTATGAATAAGCTACAAGACTTCCATAATTTATTTTGACTATTCTAAACACACATAGAAAAGGGAAATTAATTTTCCAAAATAGCAACCTACATAACACAGAGACTTGCGGATATATTTGAATAGTATGTCTCTTAGCAACCACTGCCAACCATTTCAAACTGTACATAAGCAGGCTTTAGAAATGAATAGCTACACTGGTAAATACAGTATTTTTAAAAACATACAGCTGAAAGCCAGAAACACAGCTATACTTAAAAAAAAAAAAAAAAAGCAAAAAGCAAGTAAACAAGCAAAAAGTTTTTTAAAAGTCCATTAAAACAGCTTTTTTTAATGGGTTTTTTTTCATACAGGCATCCTTACTGCCAAGAAACACTTCATTAAAATTTTAAATAAGAAATTTAAAAATTAATTTTCAGAAAAAGCTGATTCCAAATACTCCAAATGTCCCATTTGTGTTGTCAGTGTCATGAGACACAATAATTTTAGATGTTCTTAAGTCACAAATTGCTTTCCTGAGTAAGAGACCTCAGCTGCAGATACTCAGGAGTTACCCCTGACACACAACAAACACAACGGGAAGTGGAAGGACACTCCAGCTCCCACAGTTCACCACAAAGTATTTGCACACATGGAAATATAACTATTTGCTTGTGTGTGTATGTATATGTCTGAGTAGAACTTTCTATAGAAAAATGTGAATTTTAAATTGACACACTGTGCACAGCAATATAGAAATGTGCATCACCAAACCCCATGGCAAGAACATAGGAATCCTTACAACTCCTCTGACCTTTAATTGTCATATCATGTTTTCTGATAAAATCTCATATTCCCCTCTTTCAGTAGATAATATTCTTCCATTTAGTAGAATTAATGAAAACTAGCAACATTAAAAAAATAATAAATCCTTGGTTTAGACCCATTCTCCTGTGCCAAACTGACAGTTTTGAATGTCTTAAAAGGGTGTGAGTGGGATGTTGCCAGTCATGACCAAGTTCAGCAGCACAGAACAGGAGCATCTAAGAATTATTTTTACTAGATTTTGGAGGAGAGCACATGCATTCATCCTAATGCAATCTTGCTCTATCTAATCAAACTAAAACCAGCCTGGAAAAACCTGTCAGGAGTGATTTGTCATGCATATTCTTTTATCTCCACCAGGTACTCGATGAACACATTGGTGCACCTCCTTGTCAAATCAGTACTGAGATGAACAAAAAGGAAACCACCAGAGGTTTGATCCAGATGAAAAATGCTCCCGTGTTTAGGAGATGGATAAAATAAAAACTTAATTATATTGCTTTTGTAAGATGAAGAAGGTCTTGTGATACTGAGAAGGAAACTGAATTCCCTTCTTTGAAACTTTGAAAGTAAGGACAGAAATTGCTCTGTTCACTACATTTTTCAGGTATTCTTCATCCAAACAACACAGATGAACAATAAAAGCACAACTTTTATTGCCTGAGCAGAACAGGGAAAAATAAAAGCTCCAGGAGTGATAAGAGGCAAGAGAAAGGTCTTCAGAAATGCTGATTATCTCCTGCCAACTCTAGTTGCTTTTTCATTCAAGTGTCAGCCTGCAAGGAAACTCCATTTTCTAACTAAATGGGAATCATTCTAAAGTCCCCTGATTTCAAAAGCAAGCTAAAGACAGCATCAAGCACAAAGTTATTTTTGACTTTGCAGCTACACAAAAACTCACGAAGGGAAAACAAAACCAAGACAGGCCTGTTCTCAAATCTGAAGACCAAAAAAATGCATCTGTGGTCTGTCTTGGCTTATGCCAGAAAACAAATGTATAAACAATACTAAGATACATTAAAAGTGGTGTTCAGGTAGTCTCTTTATACAGAAAGAACATTTTGAGACTACCTGGTAGCAAACTTTTAATTTTTCAACAGTTACTGTTTCAGCTCTTTAAGTAATTCAAATATTTTGACTGAGGTATTGAAACTGGATCCAAACCATCTATTTTATATATCTATAGTAACAGAGACTGACATATAAACACACACACCTTTTCCCACTACCCCCATAGATTGAAAACTTTCATTGTAGATGCTGGTTTTGCCTTTTTCTGTTGCAAATGAAGTTATACTTTCAAATTCTAAACTGAATTTTTAAAGGAATTTTTTTTTCCCAAAAGCAGCACTAAGCCTTAAAGAAAACACACCAGCTTACCTGCAATACAAATTTCTGATCTATGTACTTTTTGGCAATGCTGGGCTGAAATTCTTGGCTTTCCAAAAATCGTATGAAAAACTCATATACAAGCTGCAAAAGAAAAAGTAAAAAAAACATGGGTTTAGTTTATTACTTGATTACTCTTTATATTTTTTGGATTTCCCTAAATTATTTTGTTAGAAGATTAAATGCTTATTTTTCCCCAGTACAAAGGGTTAAAAAAAATGGAAAATATTTTTCTCCTTTATCGAATTGCCACCTTTTAGTTAAAATTAATTACATGAGCTTTTTAAGCTGCCTCTGCTTATTTAACTCCAGTCAAAGACATTTCATCACCAAGAACAGGCACTGCCATCTTGTAATGCTTGTTATCGTCTTGTAAAGCTTCCCAGAGTAATTGGGAAGCACATTTAAACTGCCCTCTGAACTGCTGAAGTCACATCAAATACAGACATTACAATTCTGAAGGGGCTGGTGAAACAGTTGGAAATATTTAAATTAGATTAGAAACTGCTTGGAGTAGTGTTCTAGTACAACTTGAAACACAGAAGAAGAATACAAACCAGAATTTATTCAGAAGTTCCTAACTTATTGTAAAGATTAGCCTCAGGGCTGGAGAAAATCTGCTTATTTTCATGCAATTCCATCCCTACCTAAACTCTTCAGTGGGACAGCAAGACTTTTCATTTAGTGCAGAAAAAAGAAGAGTATAAAAACCAGGGAACAAGGAAGTCAAGTGAAACAGAGACTGCTGTGGCCTCATAAGAGCAGCTCTGATCTGTCACTGATAATGAGCTACCAGCCAGCCATTCTCTTTGCAGAACCTTTTCATAAAGAGCACCCACTGAAAACTCTTCTCTTTTTGTCTTTAGTGAGTATGAATATTGATACCGAAAGGAGAAAGGAAGCTTAAAAATTACATTTTAAAATCATTTTAAACTTTTCCATGACAGAAATATGCTGCAAAACTGCTGCTGGTACTTTCTAACAGTGTTCTCTGACTTCTCAAAGGAAGCAAGAGGAAATCAAAAAGAAGGAGAGAGGTTTAGAAGTAAGTTGTGGGAAAAGTGACAGCTTACATAACACCAACATTAAATCATCAGGAAACCAATTCCATTGACTTTTCACAAATACTTTGGTGAGTTTCTTCTTGACAATGCTAAGTCATCTACTGGATAAGAAACTCCATAATTTCCATGCAAGTAATGACATTTTGAACTACAGCACCAGTGTCACTGAATGTGCTGTTTTTCCAGGCAGGCACAGCTCCTCAGAGCTGCCTTGAAGTTTTGAAGATTCTTATTTTTTTGTGAAATATAAATATAAATGAGGGATGAACCTACATTTCAACAGATTCTGAATTAGAGAGCACAAAAGAGTGAAAAAAACTGCTCACAGGATTGTGCATGCAACTGTAAAATAAAATCCTCATTTCAGGCTGAGATCAACTCTGCTTCTTTGCTCACAAGAACTCCCAAGCTCCACAAACTGTTACTCAAGCAAGCTTCCTGCAAATTTACCAGTAGTGTGAGTCATTATCCTGACTAACACACACAGGATCTTCATCTATATTTTCTATAAAAGAATCTATTGCATTAGTATCAATGGTGTTTTCTCCAGTTTAGTTTATGTTCATTCAAAATCACAGAACGATGGAATGATTTGGGGTGAAAAGGACTTTAAAGATCACCTCATTTCACACCCCCTGCCATGGGCAGGACACCTTTCCCAAGACCAGGCTGCTCATCCAACCTGGCCTTCAACACTCCCAGAGATGGGGCAGCCACAGCTTCTCTGGGCAAACTGTGCCAGGCCCTCACAAGTCAAGAGCTTCTTATTAAAGTGTAATCTGAATCTCTCCTTGTCCTATCACTATCTGACCATGTAAAAAGCCACTCTCTCCCTTGTTTTTTTATAAGCTCCCTTTCAAGTACGGGAAGGTTGCAATGAGATTTCCCTGGAGCCTTCTCTTCTCCAGGATGAACAACCCCTGCTCTCTCAGCCTGTGCTCACAGGACAGGTGCTACAGCCCTCTGATCATCTTTGCACCCTCCTCTCTGGACCCATTCCAACAGGTCCACAATTTTCTTCTGCTAGTAACTCCAGCCCTGGATGAAGTGTTATTCCACATGGGGGTCTCAAAATCCCTTGTTCTGACAACTGAAATTCAGAGGAAGGGATGCTACTCAGTGAGCCTGAATCCTGCTCCAAACACCTGGGAGCAAACCTTGACTCGAGGAAGGGAAGGAGGACTTAGATAGGGATGCAGCTTCTCATTCATTTTTCTGATCAGCTGCCAACACCTGTGCACTTTCCTATGAATATTAACCACTCTCAATAAAGCAAAACTGCCAGCAGTGTCATCCTCACAATGCTCTAGGTGCAGTTGTTGAAAAATACTTGTGCATCAAAGCAGTTGGGAAAGCAAAACAATTTTTAAATCAGTGAAGGAAAACAGGAAAATGAGGGACACCATCAATATAATTTTGAAAGAAAGCTTTAACATTTTGCAAATATCACAAAGTTCTCTCCCTTCTCTGCAGGTACTATATTAGAATCATAAACAGTATTAATAAATGTTAGTGTCTCACAGACTAGTTCTGATTCACAGGTTTTAAAAAACAGCTGAGAAAATTATTAGATACACTAAACAATGACAAGAATTTCTTCTGAGGTAAATAATCAAAAACCTGTAAGTGCGGCCACGATGCCTCCAAGGTGGGCTCATCCTCTTCTGGATCAAATTCATTGCTGTCACTAGGTGGGAGAGTTCTGAAGATATTGCAAGATACCTGAAAAGGCAAAGAAAGGAGGATGAAATCCATTCTGCAAACAGGTAATAGATTTCAGGACTCTGTATGTCTGTACCTGCTCCATCCTCCATCACTTAAACACTGTTTCTTTTTCCTGCTGCCTGAAAAGGATCTTTACCAACAGCACAGGGCTAAGGAACCTGTCACTTTACAAACCTGCCACCAGCCTTGGCTTTTCTCCTTTCCTTTGATATCCCAGCATTACCCAGTCTGCCACCATGTTCCAGAGGAGCCCACCAGCACGTAATTCCCAATCCTGATGGGCACCAGTGGGAGCCAGAACTGCTTAAGACTTGTAGGAAATACCATCCACTCGTGTTTATAAGTGTTGTCATACAGCATTTGGTTATTTTTGTCTGTACAGAGAAACATTAATGATTAAGGTCTCATCTGTCAGCACTTGTTAGGAGTTGCCAGTGCTACTCACACATTAAATGCTTGGACACCTCATGCCAACTACAGAACTTGGTACTAAATGAAAGCAAATAATGGTATTTGCTTGACATTTAGCCTACATTTTATTTCATGGCTGGCTCGCTTTGCTTAATCTTATTTAGAGGTACTTTGGTGAGACTGCCTGGCTTTGTGAGGTTCATGCTATCAGCAAAGACTGAGCCAGAGAGCTTTCCTGGGTTAATTAGAGTGCTGAATGGAGCGTACAGCTTATTATGCAGCAAATCTGATAACTACAAGCATGCTGTAGGGCCCCTCTGCACTTGGAAGGTGATGATGTGCCTTCTTTGCTCTGCTCCTGCGCATTTGACCCATCCTTAAGCTGGTTAATCAAACAGCTGGGAAAAGCAGCATGTTATCCCCTAATCTATACGTGACCCCTTCATAGTAGTTCAGACAAACTAAGCTATTTAAGACACAAAACTAGTATGTTCTTCAGCATCCTTGTTTATTTTTCCAGGTTTTTTAGTCCTTACAGACTAAAACTAAATGTTTTAGTCTGTAAGGAGTATTTTCAGTATGTTGGCAACTTAGTGAGAAAGGGCACTTTAAAGTCCACAGTTTAAATAGAAGCCAAATACTGATAAAACCAGATTTAAATAGGGTGAAGTTTTAGAATTTGCAAGACAAACAGAACAGATTCAGGCACTGCAGAAACAGAAAAATGAAAGAGGCAAGTGCAGGAAAGCACACGTGGTGCACCCAGTGAGGGATACTGACTGAACACAGAAGAGTGAGCAAGGCAAACCAGCGAGCACAGAAAACAAGAGGCCACACTGGTTTGTGCTGGGACTTGTCCCTTCCTGCCACAAGAGGGTGTGTGCCACTGCAGTTCCAGTCCTGCAGGCTCTACAGGAGCTCAGCACTGCTTTCAGCCTGGAGAGACTCGGCTCTTCCTGCAGCCTGTGCGGATGGGTACTGAGCTCCTCCTGCCCTGTGCCCACAGCAGCGGAGTGACTGCCAGCATTCACTAGGAGAAGATCTTTACCTCCTTTCTCCAGCCTCTTCCCCAACTCATTCACTTTCCTCAAGAGCCCCTTCGTGAATAGACATTTCTAAACTCATGAGAGGTCAAATAACTATTCCAGGAATACACACATTACAGTTTGTCTTCCTCAAGGATTCCTGAGCTCCTCCTTCTACTATCCCTGATATGAAAATGCAGGGAGAGGAGAAGAGTGATCACAATTAGCAAGACAGTGTTTCTATGGTACAACACAAAAGAAGGCAGACAGCAGAAAATATTTTTAAGTAAAAAGTGGGAAATGTACATTGTATCCAAACATTTGGGATTCTAAAATACTTACTCAAGCATTTTTTGTTAATGCTTCACAGTCAAAAATTCCAGCTCTCTCAGGATTTGGATCAAAATAAGAAACTAAGAAAACCAAAGGTAGCTTTTTTTTTCCCTTTCTGCTTTAAATTTCATTTGAAACAAGAAAATTTTCCGCAAATTTAACTATACACGTATTATTAAAACTTGTACCTACAGATCACTCATCAGCTGTTTTGTTTAGAAACTGGAACAAATACTGAATTATGGCACAAGCAAAACCTGCAAGGGAAAGTACATACTTTCAGAATGAAGAGCTAAACAAAGACAAATTCCTGCAAGACTCAAATTAAGCCAAACCAAGCCTCAAGCAGTTAGTGCCAGGGCCTTACCAGCATGACAGAAGTATGAGAGGTTCAGCAACAATTAGCTAAGTTCCAGCACAGACACCTGGATCTTGAGCTTTGGACAAAATTAGTATGATCTCTGGAGAGTGCCTATTAAAAAATGCCAGTCTCAAGGCAACTCAAAAGCAGGGTTTTTGCATAAGAAAATTAACATGAAGGAATAAATGCAATTCAGGCTAGAATATGGTCCTAGCATGCAGTTTGCTCTCTTTAATTTTCTGCTTTGCATCAGGAGTAAAGATAAGCTATGTGGAGCCAAAATGCAGATATTCTCCTGAGGAGAACAGACAGAACAGGTTATCTTTAAGTGATTTCCCCACGTTATCACAACTTCAGGAGATAATGTGTGCCATTACAGTTACATTCATCACCACAACACAGCACGATAGCTCATTTACATGCAGTGTCAATTTATAGCATGCTTATCTAAATCAGTAGCCTCTGGGTGGTTAATGTTTATAAGCCTCCAAGGGAGAATGCAGGCAACAAGTCCTTCCATGCATGAACTGCCCAGCTGTACGGTGGAGACCCTGACAGCCACCACATAACACAGGAATGCACTACATCAGATCTGGAAAGACTTTTTCTCAGATAGGCATAAGGCAGCTATTTAGAATTTATCCCTGGGCCCAAGCAGCATGCCAAAACTCCTTCAGCTGGATAGCTGAACCATTTCTCTCCTGACCTTTCTTGGATCATCAAGCCAGAGGACATCCCTGCCAGCCTGCATACACACTCCCCAGTGATTTCTGTCCCAAAGCCAACGCAAATGACTATGGATCAATACTGACTTCCGTCTGCCACTGATTAGGAACGCCTCCAAGCCCAGATGATCCTTTTGGAAGGCAAACCAGAACTCAAATATTCTACAAAGTTGTATCAAGACAGATGTCCCCTCTCTGTCCTCAAAAAACCTGCACCCTCTTCTCCATGGCTGTACCTTTCAGAAGCACACACCTCACTGAGTGTACAAAGTCCACCACAGAGATTCTCAACACCCAAGTGCCAGAAACCAACTTAACAAGCACTTAAATCTACCCATTGGCACAGAATCAAAAACATCCCAGACCTAAGTGGAAATGTTCAAGTCACAGATTTCCAGACTGGAGACGCACAGAAACCTCTGAGCTCTGTGTCAGTGTGTCAGGCACAAGTCACAGAATCATGGAGTGGTTTGGGTTGGAAGGGACCTTTAAGGTCATCTCGTTCCAACACCCTGCCTGGGCAGGGATGCCACCTATTAGACCAGGCTGCTGCAAGCCCCATCCAGCCTGGCTTTGAACACTTCCAGGGATAGGGCAATCACAGCTTCTCTGGGCAACCTGTGCCAGTGCTTCATCTGCCCTCTTAATAAAGAATTTGTTCTTCAGATCTGATCTAACACCTAACTCCAACCATACACAAGACAAAAACTCTCCCAAGCAATTACAAGTCAATGTCAATTTGTTAAAAACAAACAAGACAGGGAAGGCTGCTCTGTAACCCCCCAGAGAGTGAGCTGCAATTTCCATGCAAGATCCAGAACAGATCTGATAGCTGGTACCTGGCAATGCACAACCACAAAATTAGGAATATACAGGAAAAAGCATTAAGCTTCAAGAAATCTTTATCACCACATTTATATTTGAATTAACTTTTAGAAAATAAGGTAGTAAGAGGCTAAAGTCTGAATTCAAAATTCATGTTTTGAGAAGTCCTCTCTTTGCCCCTCAGGGGAGTGCTATAAAAGTGACAACACTGTAACAGAAACACTTCACAAATTGAATTGCAGCTGAGCACTTCTATTCTGTGCTGTTTGAAACAAAGATTTTTATCAGTAATAGTCTTCCTGAATGAAAGCTGAAATGAAAATAATCACACACAGCAAAGTTTAATGTATTCTCTATATAAAACCAGGGTAAGAGGATACCCATTTACCTTACAGGGAACACCTGTTCTTCAATTAAAAATATGTGGAATCATCCAAATAAACCCCATGTACATATAAAATTGAAACCCAGTATCTCTGCTCACAATGTTTAAACTGCTGTGCATAATAATAACATAGAGAAGCAATAAAATGCAATTAAGTCATAACATGAAGCCATGCTAACCTGGAGACAACACTGGCCCCTGGAAAAGCCACTGGACTTGTCCTTCTGAAATGTATCTGCATAAGTGGAGTTTTTTAGTATCATTTACAGATTTACATATTCTAGAGCCTGAAGCAACTACTGCAGTCACTCAGCTATAATCTCTCTATAAAACCACTGAATTGTTCCCAGAAGTTTGACTAAAGAACATCTTACAAAATGTAGTACCTAATTTTATCTTAAAAGAATATAAACTGTTCCACCAGCTCTCTTTTCCTAAAGTTTCACTACTAATTTAGCTACAGCACTGTTTCTGATCTCAAGGTTGAATCTTCCTGGTACCCTGCTGGTTCTTGTTAAACCACCAGATCTCTTTTACACCTGTACACATATTTGCATATGCAGTGTGTGTCTATCTATAGATAGGTATTTTTATATAGACATGACAACTCTCAACCTCTGTGTCGTTAAATGGAAAAACAAAGCTCCTAAACCCAGGCAGTTGTTGGTTTCTCTGTTTGTTTTTAATCCTGTGATTATTTTTACTTCCTTCCTTTGACCTCCCACCTGTGCACAAGTGCACTGGGGTATATAAAAAGCCAGACCATGTCCCTCTTTTTTCCTGCATGTTGTTGTCATATTAATTTATCGACATTCACTTCTTTGAACAGTGCAGCGTACCAGAAATTCATATTAAGATACTCATGATAAGCAATCCACAATGCTCAGGTTCTTTTCTGCACCACTGCTTGCCTGAATACAGTCTTTCAGGGC